GAATGTCAGGTGTCTTGGTGAGAGTTGGAGACTACGAGGTAGCCTCCAGGTCTCAGACACGGACGCTTCCGTGAATGAAACTAATCGAGATATCGATCGCTGAGAGGCGTCCCGAAGATCTAATCAGGCTGATCAAGGAGTGTTCCGCGTCGCGTCGAAATACCACGGTGGGTTCGCGGAAAAGGGGGCGGGCGAAGCAGAAACAACTGGCTCACGGCGCCGTCGTACGTAATAAAACAAGAGTGTGAGACTGCCGAAAATCAGGGCGTTCTGGCCTAGTGGAAAACGAGGTAAGCCGGCGATGCTAGCCCTTAAAGCAGTCTGGCGTGTCGGCGTCGTGGTATATCGCTGTGTATCCGATGTGGCTGACGATGTGTGGCTAAACGGTGATGACATGGGTGGTGGTTATGTCGGGCCAATCAACCGCCTGTGGACCCCTTTTTTTCCTTTTTCTGTTCTTCCTTGGTTGACGCACTTTCCCCAGACAAGTGAAGTCGAGGTGTGGCACGGTCCCTCCGTTCCCGCCGAGGCGAGCAGGAACAGCCAGCAATTCCGGCAGGATGCTGTCCGTGAGAGCTTCGGAGATGTGGCTTGCGCTCACGGGCCCTTCTCAGCGGGGCGGGATCCCGCAGAAGCCGCTGTCATTGGATGTTTGGGGTTGGGTAAAAGTGGGGTTTCGTTCTGCCGAGAAAGTCGTCCACCAAAGAACGGTTTGGTCCCTGCGCCGTCGTCCAGCTGGGGTCGGACGAATGTGCGCAATTGTCCAATGGCATCGGGCTGCGTGTCTCATTGCCTGCTTATCCTGTGTTCTTGTCAACCGCTTGTTTCTCCCTGATACCCGGGGCCTGGGAATACCTTTCTGTCTCGACGCACCTCGCATATCGTCCTCGGGTCCTCGTGATCCAGCGTCGGGCGCCCCAGATCTTCGTTTTTCAGTTCGCTTATCTTCTGGCATGGGCAATTGCAGCCGCAGGCTCGCAGACCTGGCCAGATTCTGTATGGTCGCGTTTTTGGGTCGGATTGCATTACGGGATTTGCGTCCGCCGCCGTCGCACACCATCTAGCGCATAAGAGCCAACATGGAGAGTGCAACATCAGCTCGGGCGTCGTTTCTGGGACTGCAGGCCCTGCTCTCGCAACACGTTTGAATGGCACAGCGCAGCGTGCAGACGGGAGACAAACGCCTCAACGACGACGACATCTCCTCGGCCAAGGCCACGCGCCTGACGTACATACTGCAACGCAGGCGAGCTTTGAGACCGGCTGCACGAAAGCGAGGGCGGGGAGAGGAGGGTGAATGGCAAGCAAGACGGGGTCTAGCAGGTGTCGGTGCCACGCATCTATCTGCATGGCGTTTCTGTCCATCTGCGCGAACTGAGTGCACGGTGTTGTTCTGCACGAGAGGTTTTCCTGGCAGCCACATCTCAGCCACCACACCGAGGGCGACACTGGACTTGCCTGCCGGATCCTTGTTCCCTCTGGCCTCGGGCATTTTCTCATCAGACAGAACTGCTGGCTTTATGAAGAGGAAATGCACTATGGAGCAAGCGTCCGCGGAAGGTCCCCCGCTGCACAAAACACACAAAAGTCTGGACGACTATCTTACACGATACCTTGCGGATTATGCCTTCCTTTCCTAGACGGCCATTGCGACATCCGTGGCTCGCAAAGCTCTCGAGCTCCAACCAGCCCCGGTAACCTCCGGGTCTCACCATCTGCCTAGCCTCTGCCCAATCTCTCCTTCCCGTCAAGGCGGTTGGCTGGCTGCCATCTGGATGTCCCCCGGCGACGCTCGACCCGCTAGCTGACGATGAGGAAGATCTACCCTTCGTGCCTCCTGCAGCTCCGTGAGTTGTCTCGGTGTTAGGTGCTAAGGTCAGCCGCACCCTCAAGCACACAATTCTCTTGGGCTGTTTGGCGTGGCGCGCATGAGCTTGAATGAGGAGGAAACTGCGGGATCGCATATCGAGGGGCCCAGTCTCAACGCAACTTCAATAAGCTCACCGACCGTTTGTTCTGGTTTCTTGGCCCTTATTGAACCACTTCTTAGTGGTTCTAATGGTCCTCTTTTCCTTCGAATATGGGCGCTGGCAATGGCACGCCAGGTGACCCGGCTCAAACGTTCGACCGAACTCTAGATCGTGACGATGATGCAAGATTGCCCGCATGTCCCGCCCACCCACAGACTCGAAAAGCCAGAAACAACTATATTGCACAAAGACTTCTCAATCAAACGCTAAACCGATCGTGCATCGAAGGTATGGCATTTGGGATTTGCAGAGGTGCGGCGAGGGCGTCGAGGACTCGAGCAACGGTTAAAAAAACAAAAGCCAAAGATGAAAGTGAAGCCAGCCATCTGACATCTTGGCCGTGAGTGCTGCTCGCCGTCGGCCGGCGCTCTGCCACTTTCTTCCATCCAGTTCTTCCTTTCTCTCAGGTTCATTTGCAGTCATTTAACCCCAATCGCAGAGTTGAACCTTCAAACCTTCTTTTTTGGATCTTCCATCGTTCTAGCAGACACCTCTCGAGGCTGTGAGGTCACCGTCGGCCGTAAGACTTTTCTTAGTCGGCCTCTTCGGCGAATACTTGAATCTACATGGCCAGGCGGCTATAGTACTCTTTCTTGGAATCTTTCCCGCCGGATGAGGCGTGGAATACCCAGGGAGGTCTCACATCGGTAGCTCGCCCACATCGGGATCCATTTAGTCCCAACTACCTGAAATGCGGATACGCTTGTCGATCTCTCCGTTCCCCAGGAATGCGTCTGTTTTAGTTGCGGGATAGGGTCTCACAGATCCGCCGTGCGTACAGCTCTTCTTTGTTGTTGTAGCTGCTGCTGCTGCGCAAGAACCAAATGGAGACCCCGTCCGTCGTTCGGCCGCGCAACCGCGGAGCCGTGACGATGCAAAAGCCCACAGCCTCAAAATCAGCAAAAAGAAGGGACCCGATATGCCAGGGGGTCAGGGCTGGCGGCGTCCCGTGTGCCGCAGACTAGATTGCTCGCGCAGCTCGAACAATATCCTCAGCGGAACATGGATCGTCAGAGGCGCTCGGAGGAGGAAGATGAACAGCAGCAGCAGCATGTCACGGGGAAAAGGTCCATGCTACAAACATCCAGCCATGTTTCTAGCCTGCCGTCTTTTCTTTGTGGCGGACTACGCCAATGCTGGTGCTGGCTAGCGCGGGACGTCCGCATGTCCGCACTTCTTCCCGCAGTAGTCGATATCTGTCAAGGAGTGTGGGTGGTGGTGGACAGACGGTGAAGCCTGCCTGGGCCTAACGATGCAAATAATACATCGTTAGGTTGCCTTGAGGCGATAGGGCTTCTTCGTTGGACCTGGTCAACATGGTGATTTAGCCCAGCGGACCGTCGATAGTGGACCGCGCTGGTTGGTTGCTGGACGGGATCGGCAGCCAGGTTCGACCATGGTCCCCTGTCGCCCCGTTGCAGATATGTACTGCATGGTACTGTAGTAGCTGCTGCGTCGTCTGGTTGGAGGCATGCTTGGTAGCTTCTGCTGCAAAGCCAACGGAAGCTCCCACCACCATCACCGCTCGGTGGATGGGCCTTCCTGTCGCGGATTTCTACTTTGTGCCTTTGACCTGCAGGCGAGAAACCCAGAGACACCCGACGAGAGAGAGCGAGACGGGAAAACACACATCGGATTAGAGTTTATCTCTCGTAACGATTTGCCCCTCCACCTCGACTCAGGCACCCTGTCCCCCGTCCCGTCACCGTGACATGAGCTTGGCCACGAAACAGCCTTTGGCTGCTGTGTTTCCTGTCGTCACTTTTGTCTGGGGTGCTGCAGTCTTCGACCCGATGAGGTCCTTGTTCCTACCTTTTGCCTTACCGTTTTCTCCGAGGGCTGGAGCCTGACCCGACGGAATGTGCTTCCCTGCTGTCTTTTCGATGTATTGTATGAGAGAACTCTGTCTCTGCCCAGGCACGTAAATGCTCTTTTGAGTATGTAGGTGTGCACGAGCACACGTCTTCTCCGAGCCGTCACCACCTCTCCCTTGCATCCTCATTTCCGTTTCCCACCAGACTGCGGCTGGGTGCCGCGGTACGTGTACAAACCGTTTCTCCTCATTGTTAGCCCCCAAAAGATAGCCCCCAAAAGAATCCATCAGAGCCTGTCTGTCGCTTTGGAATCCCCTTCCTTGTGGCTTGCGTCAGGGGTCGCTAGCTATCCCAATGATACTCGTCGTACCTACATGCTACTAAGCGGTAGTACATTTTCACTGTCCAACGCCGTCACTTGTTTAGAATACCAAGATCGTACTAGCATTTCTTGGCCGGTGGCTTGCTCCGAGTCAACCAGCTGCAGCCGGACCTAGACCGGTAGCTGCCACAAAAAAAGAAGAAGAAGAAACCGAGCAGAAACGCCTTTTTTTCTTCTCATGCTAAGTGGGCTTGAGTCTTACTATTGACCATTCAGCTGGGCATCACGTACGTCTATGGATGGATGCGCCCCTCCCCCCCTTCTCCTGCCTTCACACTACCCACCAGGAGGAGGAGGAAGACGAAAGAGACGTAGCCACGGATAAGTTTATTCCTCTTTGCCTGCAAGTCTACTTTCCCACCCCTTGCCTCTGGCGCATCGGACCTCCTCCATCCTTGTAGCAGCACTGGCTTTTTGGGCTTTCTGTACCGTACCGCACCTTAGCTTGCCCCTCTCACCCGTCCGTCCTTGCACGTACGCTTCGATCACCTGTTGGACGAAACTTAAAGACGGTTGTGTCCCCCTCCCAGACATTGCGAGACGAAGGTAGCTCGGACACCCAAACCGTCGATCTCCTGCCTATAGCGTTCCCGGTTTGTCTTTGGTATATAGTTCTTCTGGCCCTTTTTACACCTCTGCTCGGAGCCTCTTTTTACCTCCCCATGTACGAAAGATCGTGACACCGAAAAACGAATCCCTCGACATCGCCTTTTCCGTCATCCCCCTCCCCTTGCGACGACCACCCGAGGGCATCAACACAGATATCGGGACATGATGGCTCCAATGGTGCTCCCCCGAGCGGACCCCGCCGGGCTGCACACGGTAGAGCCTTTGGCGGGCACGGTGATGAGCGTCATCATCTGCCTCGTTTCCATCAGTATCATCTCAGGCTTCATTGGTATGTGGATATCGCGGGAAGCGGGTGGATCAGTGGGGGCCACGACCGGGATGCTAATGAGACCTTGCAGCCCAAAGAAGTTCAGCGATAAAACAGTGGAGGAGGATACCATTCGTGGTGTGGTGTAAGTCGACAAACAAGGCAAATCAGTGACACAGGGAAGACAACATATACTAACGACAGCCTCAAGTGGTGCTATTAATCTATCTCGACTCCTACCTCTTCGTCTTCGTCACCGCGGTTCTACAATTCGCCCTCGGCGTCAACACGAACATCCAAATTTGCGACGGCGCCATTCTGTTGTGCCTCGTTTGCTACATCACGACGAAAGTGTTGATCTACCTGTTCCTGGTTGAGAAAGCAGTGCGTACCCTGAAATCGGGAAAGGAGTCTGAAGGAATGTTGGCTAACGGTTTGCAAAGCACATTATTCGCGGCGCAACGAAGCCACGGCTCAAGTCGAAGCTTTACATTTTCAACTCGTTTGGCATGCTGGGCGTTTACGCTGTTATTGCCATCCTCAACTTTATCTTGTACGCGACCCGGAATCAACGCCAGAAGGACGAGAGCTAACCATGCTGCAGCCGAATTACTAGGATAGACGACGGCCAGTGCTACATTGGTATGCAGAAGGTCTCGATGATCCCTCTCATCTCCTTCGACGCCGTCGTCAACGTTTACCTGACTATTCTCTTCCTCATCCCACTCAAGAGTGAGTTTCTGCACACAGTCTACCAAAGCGCACCAACTAATCCAACGACAGGTCTTTACTCTTTCAAAAACTTCCCCAAGACGCCTGCCAACGTGCGCCTGAGGACTGTCGCGTTGCGAACGTTCGTCGGTGCCCTGTGCACGCTTACCAGCAGCATCGTGTAAGTTGCGGGCAGATAACATGATTTAAGCTCAAAGTTTCTGACTCGCTCCAGGAACCTGACTGTACTGATGGCGCTTGACGGTGAGCCTGGCTGGGTTTGCCTCATGTGCTGCAACAGCGATAGTATGCTTCCCACCCAACCATACCCTTGCCTTTCATCGGCTGACTCCATCCCCAGTTCTCTTCTCTGCTGTTGTCGTCCAGTGGGTTACAAACAAGGATAACGCTGCCACACAAGGCTCGTCAGGAGGTGCATCGCGCAGCAACGATGCGAACCCATTTGTGGTCGACGACTTCCGCGGTGGACCTGAAGGCGGCTACTCTCCTCACATCGCCCCGAGCCAGAAGCATGTCATGGATGACATGGGCGAGATCTCGCTCGACAGCGGCACCCGTTCCGAGTTCGCCAACAGCGACAAGGCCTCGAGCGAAGCGGAACGCCAACGCCACGCCTCTTCGGCGAGCACGATACCTTCGACCGGCGCCGTGGTGGTGACGACGACTATCAAGCGCGAATCGAAGCCCGGGCCGGCTCTTTTCGAGGAAATGCAAATCGAGGACGGGTACACAGCACCGCCCAGTAATGCGTCGTCTCGACCGATGAGCGGCAGGGATCAGGAATTTGATAACTACACCAGAGGATCACGGACGAAAATCACGGCCGGCAAGCGTTGATTGAGGACGATCGAGAAAAGGGCATTCCCACTGCTTTTGTTTTGTCACAGGCGGCATCATATCCAGGGATCGCTTTCCTCTTTTCCCGGCGCGCAACGGTTCCCAACTTACACACAACATCATAGGCGTCACAACGGTTGCTTTTTCTTTTCTTTTTGGGGGATCGGACTGCCCTCACGGGGGTTCTAGGACGAAAGACACCACCGGAGTCAACATATTTCCTTTTTCTTGATATCACGACATTATGAGCTCTACGATGGGCTGGATGTCTTGTCTTTTTTTCTTTCTTCTATTTCCATCTATATACACGGGCCATATGTTTGTTATTAGGCGACGGGGAATTGGTATTGGATATGATTACTGGGACATACACGAGGATAACCGGAAATGACGAATCTCTACGGCCCATATGAACTCTTTTGGTGTTTTGGCAAGAGAACAGGCTCACTCTCAAGAAGATATGGGTACTTTAGGACATGAGGTCATTTTCCGCATGAAGAGACAGTGAAAATGGCGATAGGTAGGAACATTGGGTTTCTTGCACCAGTCACGAAAACCAACAGGGTTGACGGATCAGCGATCCGCCATGTTACGCCGCGAGCATTAGCAGCAGCACTGGCTGCAATAGTCGAGACTGAAAAGTCTTATCAGAATAAAGCACCACAATTCTTGATCTAAGAACCTCGTGTCCTGCAGTGTTCGTCGCGCAATACCTGGGCCAGGAAAGGGACCGTCCGCCACAATCTCGATCAAATAAACTCACATCTAGTGACTGAACATTTGCCTTTTGGGGTTTTGGGACGTGATTTGCTCTCCAGAGAAGGTAGCCAAGGCGGCGCCATTAACTAACCACAACTAATGCCAGACCGATGGACTGCTGCAGCTGCTGCAGAATCCGCCACCCAAGGTTAGTCCGGATTTCCCACGTGCTTGATATTTTCGCCTCCTCCTTGCACATCTGCCGAACGTGCTTCTACGGCTCTTCTAGAGAACCTTGGACGTTTTGTTGCACCTGGAAATTGTGTCGAGCAGCGGCGGGACGCCATGTGTCACACGTCGTACAACATGTACCCGAGTGCGCGGGCGTCGGAACTTGACTTCCATGCCACGTTTTATTCGTTCTTGCCCTCTTTGCCATGTATACATGTACTTCTTTTTGACCCTAGTGTCTCGTAATCTCAGATATCACATCCTATGGACGGGGATGAACGCGACCAGGGAGGCAGGGGGTCAACACCGACACGCGCTTTCGGGACGTTGTTTGTAATGCGAAAGGAGGATTCAACGCATACACGTGGCTCAGAGATGCTCCGAAATCTTCCTGCACTCTCTCTCATCGGTCAGACCCTTGCTACTACATCCACAAAGCGATTTACCTCATGAAGTAGGTATGTAGTCAGTTGGTCGAAGAAGCCAAGTAAAGAAAAAAGAAGCTCTAGAACTCGAGACTCGGGCCTTCTTCATCGGGCCCTGAAAACAATGCGATGTTGCGACCTTTTTGTCCGCTCCCAAAGCGAAGCGCCCGTTCCACCCATCAAAGACCAGCCACATGAAGGGCTGCCCTGCCCTGCCCTGCCCTTCGAATTTCCTCCCATGACTCTGCTCGTTGTCGTTTTCTCTACGAGCTTTCTGTCCGCCCAAGTCATGTTAGTGAAGCTGGGGCTTAAGCTGCGCTGTAGCAATCATCCCAGTCCCAAAGGCCAGGAAAGCCTGTCGTTTCCCCGGTCTTGGCTACCTTCGCGGCCCCTCTGTTCCGTTTGCCTTGCCGCTGCTCCACTCTGTGTGCGGGTTGTTGAAAACGGAGGGTCCTTCGGGGGAGGGGGGAGGCATCACCCATGGAGCTTATCCGCAGTCGACGAACGTCGAGTCACCAGAACCAAACAAAGTCGCATTCCTGACCCTGGACGCTTGGGCGCCTCAGCCTACTATCTCTCTCCCTTCTTCGCCGGTGTTTGCTTGAGCTGCGCAAGAGCCAAGAACTGGCCCCTCGAGCTGTAAGTGTTGTATGATTTTAACTCGGACTACCGCTTCTCGGGATTTGTTACCGTAGCAGAGAAGAGCACGTAAGCGACTGTCTCGTCTAACAAGACCCCTTGTTCATCTCTGAGGCCTGTCTTCCGGGCAACGTGCATGCTTGTCTATAGTCGGGTACATTGCTACGCAGACATGATTGAGAAGCAGCTGAGTTGGTTTTGAGAGAAGGGTGCGGGCCCATCCAAAAAAAAAAAAGCACTGCACTGGGCTGGGCAGACTCTCTGCAAAAGCAGAGATGGTGACATCTTGCGCATTGTCCTATTGAAGCATGGGCACGAAGCATTGGGCAAGGCCCGGGCAGCAGCTATTCTGCGGGCATTGGCCCTCTTGATGGGGACTCCCCCGGATCATTTGAACCGCATACAGGGCGTCCGTGTTAATTCTCGCGAATTTTTCGCTCTTTCTCAAGTCTTGACAGCTGACTTGGAGCATTTGACAGGATGCATTGGCTCTCTCTCTCTCTCGGCAGACGTTCCGAACCGGCCCTTCATCGTTTCCTACGTGCCGAAAAGAAGAAAGTCACTTTCTATTACACATGTCAGGAGAGGAAAGCAGTGTGTGCTTAGCTGGAAAAGCACACCCAAGAAAAAAAGAAGTATGTTCTTCTTTGCATCTCATTCGGTCAGAACTTCTACCTCGCACGCGCCGTTGGATTACGAAAGAGTAGCAGAAACAGCGACCACTCAGAAAGAAGAAGCACTGCGTGGTGGCGGACACCTTGTCCAATCTTTCTCCCCTCCTTTCAAGCAAGCGAGGCGCAATAGAAGAAGATGGGATAAAGTGTAGCGGGAGGGAGGGTTGATGCGTCAAACCCTAGCGTTGCGGGCAAAAAGCGTGCTGCCCTCGCAGAGTCCGCGCATCATCACGCAATAACATCCCAAAACGGCAAGTCGATGGAAAACCCTATGGAACGGGTTGTATCTTCGCATGTGGGAAAATCCCAAGGGTGTCATTTCGGAAGGGCAAAGCAAACGAAGAGGAGGGGGGGAGGAGTGAGGAGGAGGAGGAGGGAGGCGAAACGAAGATGAGATTAGAGATCTATCTACCGAGAAACCCAGATCTGCCGTATCCCGCAGCGTAGCTTCGCTCCTTCGTACTAGGCAGCCAGCACCACGTGTTACGCGTTGCATGTAGCCAGTCGGAAGCCATGTTTGTGGTGTCACCGTAGCCAAAAGGACGAGGAGGAGGAGTATCTAGCCAAAAGGCTAAGAAGCTCTTCCCCCGCCCAGTAAGCCATTGAGTGCGGCGAATACGGTCCCAACCGTAGGATGATACTATGTAAGCAAGTATGCAGCGCTAGGGATGCATGGAAGAAGGGTAAATAGAAGCAAGCTCGGAAAAGTGTAGGGTTGGGTTCTTGATGGACCGGTCGTTTTGGGGGTGAGAGCTGATACCACGTCAAGACGGAAAAGTCAGGCTACAGCAGACGTCAGGTCAGCATACTATGACATCTGGAAGCGACCATCGCCCTCCAATGTGTCGCTGCGCCAAGGAGGCGTTATCTTGCATGTCTCGCCAGAGCCGCACCACGTCTCGTGGACCTTCCTCTGATATGCCGCCGCATTGAAGAGCCGGACGGAAGCGGCGTGGGAAAGAAAGATGACAGGACTCGACAGTGGTATCTACTTACACCAGCCAGACACTGCCATCTCTTCAGCTCGCGTGACATGCCGGGTTCATCTGCAACGCAGCGTTGTCAATGGGGAGACCACACGAAAGCCGCTTCTACCGCCGGCCTATCCCCACATCACCGACTCAGGACCGGGGGAAGTTGTGCACAATCCATGCATGTCTTCAGACTTCAGCCCCTCCCCCGGTCCAGCTCGGAGCGTTGCGACGTATCCACCCCGAGAAAAGTCCCAAGCTCCCTCCCCTCCATCAGTCGGGGAATAGCGGTCGGTTCGACGTGTGCAAAAACTATCCCTACTTTTCGTCTCATCGAAGAAAGCCAAGAGGCCAAAGAGACGGGAGAAACATCCTTCTTCATGCACCGTCTACCCCTGCTACGACGTGCTTCCCCTCACGAGTCATTGTATTAAATCAGCTTCTACGCTACGCTTGCCTTCTATTCTCTCCTTCTCTGGCTCACTTACATGTGCCTCCATCCCCGTCCTCCGCACACACACTTACATGCACACACACATCGACCAACCCCACCAGCCCAACCAACAAGAACGCAAACACAGCCCAACGCAACTCTACTCGACCTTTCCGCCCCCGGCCTCCCTGTCTTTCGACTGATTTTTACATCATTCCTGCCTTTAGTCTTTTTCGTCCGTACGTGAAGGTTGCGTCGGAAACGCTCTCCGGGAACGAAGCTTTGAACTGGTTTTGAGGCAGTTTTTCTACTAGTCTACCGCGCCGCTACCTTGCCTTCGCCCTGCCCTGCATCGTCGTCTGGCTGGCTGCCTGTGTTGCGTGCGCCCAACTGGAACTTTCCCATGCTCAAGGACGAAGAAGTGTCGAGGTCTACCTCATGTATCCGAACGGCATAACTTGGGGACCGGACATCGGCTGAGTTTACTGCGAGTGCGGAACCGCATCAAACTTGACCCCCTCTCCAACTGGCTGACCACTAACGAAACGGTTATGTGTTATTCACGATTCCTGTTGCATACTCTTTTTTTAGCTGTTGGCCAGAATATGTATCTACAACACATCCGAAGCTAGTACGCGATAGATTGTTGGCTGCCTCTGGCTCGAGGACCTAAGTCTACACACAATCTGTACTCGTCGGTACACACGCGACGACAGCAACCACCAATTCTACAGAGTTTTGGACAATGTCAGACATCCAGACGTCCCATCATCGGCATGCCGTTCAGTCGTCCGGCGCAATGGTGACACACACACACACTCACACACTCACTCCGGCAGACCACTGGTTCGTTCGGCAATATCACCATTGGTGAGAATTCACCATCAACATGATAATGGGCAAATTTGACCAGAAATTCTCGGCCGTT